ATGTGGTAAGAAAAGCCTGTCTGGAACTCGTTAGGGCAGGAAGATGAGAAGCAAGGGGGAAGTAATTTTCTCTTTCCTCACAGTCCAAGTGCAGATTGTGGAGCTGTGTGTTGACAGCCAGAGAGGGAAGCTAAAGAATGCTGGAGTTTTCCCTCTGGACTATTCTGAAATCATGAGTGCCCAAAGGATGAAGTATCCTACAAAAGGTAGTTGTGTACATCTTCTTTTATAAATCATTATTGCTTGGTCTAAAATACAGGAGCAACCCTGGGAAGAGGAACCTCTGACATTACTTTGGCCACAACAACCCCATGCAGTGCTACAGGCTGGGGACAGAGTGGCTGGAGAGCAGCCAGGCAGAGAGGGAGCTGGAAGTTTGGATTGACAGGAAGCTGAACATGAACCAGCAGTGTGCCCAGGTGGCCAAGAAGGCCAATGGATCCTGGTCTGGATCAGGAACAGTGGAAGGAGGACTGGGGAAGTGATTCTTGCCCTGTACTCAGCGCTGGTGAGGCCACACCTTGAGTACTGTGTCCAGTTCTGGGCCCCTCAGTTCAGAAAGGATATTGAGGTGCTGGAGCAGGTCCAGAGAAAAGCAATGAGGCTGGTGAAGGAACTCAAGCACAAGCCCTGTGAGGAGAGGCTGAGGGAGCTGGGGTTGTTCAGCCTGGAGAAGAAGAGGCTCAGGGGAGACCTCATCACTCTCTACAACTCCCTGAAGGGAGGTTGTAGCCAGGTGGGCATCGGTCTCTTCTCCCAGGGAATCAGCAGTAGGACAAGAGGGCATGGTCTTAAGCTGTGCCAGGGGAGATTCGGGTTAGATATTAGGAGGAAATTCTTTACAGAGATGGTGATCAGACGTTGGAACGGGCTGCCCAGGGAGGTGGTGGATTCTCTGTCCCTGAAGCTTTTTAAGATGAGACTGGATGTGGCACTTAGTGCCATGGTCTAGTAACCATGTCAGTGTTGGATCAAGGGTTGGACTTGATGATCTTGGAGGTCTTTTCCAACCTGGTATATTCTGTGATTCTGTGATTCTACGTGCTCAAAGGGCTTCAAGGTCATCTCACAAACTCTCTTGCATTCTTTTGCACTCAGAGAACACGACTAAAGGAGGAGCCCTAGGTCACAGTAGTCACAGATGCTTCTTCCTGAAATATAGTACCTGAACCTCTGAGGCTGAAGGAGCTGAGATTCCCCTCGACATGGGGAAGCTACTGTACTGCTAGCCAGGATGTGTGAGTGTGTGACATTCACACTGGTCAGTCAGGGCTCAGCATTACCTTGTTCTTTAAGAGAACACACTGTAAGTGCCTACCCACCAAAGAGGACTCTGGGATGTGTGTCCACAGGTTTTAAAAACCATCACCTGAAGCTATGCAGGAAGGACATAGGCTCTCAAGGGGACTGTGTGCTCATGACCTCAGTGCTCATTCCTTCAGTGACTACTTCTATATGTCCATTTGCTTCTCTCCCTGGGAAATGTGTATGCAAACTGTGCAGGGAGCCAAGTCACCTGATGCAGAGGCCTTCTCTGTGAGCCAGGCACCTTGAGCTAGGCTTACATGATCTGCCATTCCTTATAGGCCTTAAACAGTTGTCTACTTGGAAAGTCAGGAAATTTTATTCAAATTATAACTAAAGTAGATTAGCTAAACCATGTTAAAGCCATGTTATGTTCATGTACTCATTCAGGATTCATGCTTTTTCCATTTAGCTTTGCTGAGATAATGAATTAAAACAAATAAAATTAAGTTTAATTATGAACAAGAATGTCCAGTGTTTGCGTAGGGAGTTATGTAGCTCTAATAACTTAAATTTCCATATTTAGCTGACACATGAAAACTAGTCTGAAAATTTCTGCATAGAAAAGCCTCCAAAAAATTTGCTATGTATTCTGGGGTTTGTACAAAATCTGAACAACTTTTCTCACTCTTAACATATTTTTTGAACTGGGATTAGAGGCTAACATTGCTCTAGTCCAGGTCAAATTCCCAGTAGGAGTTGTAGCTGCATATTTACAGGAAACCCCAAACTAGAAAAAGCAGGACGAGAAGAAAATGTAACAGTACACGCTCATTGAGCTTCGTGGTCCTCAGCATTGGTACAAATACACTATCTCATATGTGAGGTGTGACATGACTTCTGCCCTTCATACAATATCATGCCATCCTTCTGCTAGCAACCCTCTGCTGAACTGCATTCCCACAGGCCAATCACCACCCTGCTGCCTGGAGGAGGAACAAGCACAATGAAGAAAAATAGGCAAAAACAGGATGGTAGAATGAAACTGTCAAGCAGAGGCTGTGATCTGTAGCAATTGGCAACATTATCTGCATGTTTGTGGGTAGGGGTGACTCAACTTTTTCCTTATTATTGGTGCATCAGGCATTTTCTGTCTGAAACAACTCCATTTTTGTCTAAATTTACCATACGTTTATCCTTTCTGCATTCACACTTTACTCCAGTTTGGCTAGCTGCATGCTTAGAACTTTCATTAAACATTCATGAAAACTTTTGTTAAGATTTTACCTGTCAGATACTTTTTTGTCTCTCATGAACAGCTGTCACTGAAATACTGTTTCAGTGGTTAATTTGAACTCTTTCTGATTCATTTTTACTTCCTGTTCAAATGTTTGCAATTTGAAAGTAGTCTGACAATGAGCAGAACCTTATCTCTATCAGTAAGGAGGAAGATAATCTGGCTGGGGTTGTTTTTTTTCCCTATCTCAAGGTCCTGATGAACACTAAGCAGCCTAGAGCAGAGGCGTGTCCCAGAGCGTAGTGAAGTCAATACACTGGCTGCTGCAATGAGCTGCAGAACAAGATTGTTTGGGACTACATTCGAGGAGGCACTTAGGCATCTAATTCCCGAATTATGTACTTAAAATACCTTCATCAACCACCACTCAATCCTGGAAGTGCCTAGTTCCATAACCACCTACATTGTCAGGTTTGTTGTTCTTGGGGTTGCTGTGGATGCACTTTGCACCTCCCCCAAGTTTGCTCATGTCTTTGTAGAGTCGGGCAGCTCATTGCTTGAGGTACACCTAAAATTCACCAGCACAGATTAACTGGACATTTCTCTGCCCGAGTTTCTTAGAGTTGTGATTGTTGTGCTAGAGGCCATCTGAAGGAGAAGAAGGTCTAGATTAAAGAGCATTTCAGTGCCTGTAAGACGAATACTGACACCTCTTTTTTAAGCATCTGGTCCCTGAGAGCAGTGCACAGAAACTGAAGCCTTAAACCGGGTTCAGTTTTCTATGATTGACGCTGTAGGCTTTCCTCTGGAAAGAGAGTTCATGGCTCCAGAGGGCTCAGTCCCAAGACTGACATGCCGAGGTTGAGATCCAATATTTACTAGCTAATCCAAGAGCCTGTCTCTAGGAATTCAGAATACAAAGTGCATTTGCATTTACACTCGGCTAGAAATGCTAGTTATTTGTTTTGCTTTAAACTGCCTTTCACAGAATCACAGAATTGTTAGGGTTGGAAGGGATCTCTGGAGATCATCTAGTCCAAACCCCCTGCCAACGCAGGGTCACCTAAAGCAGGCTGTACAAGAACACGTCCAGATGGGTTTTGAATGTTTCCAGAGAGAGAGACTCCCTGACCTCCCTGGGCAACCTTTTCCAGTGTTCTGCCACCCTCAACATGAAGTTTTTCCATAAGTTGAGGTGGAATTTCTTGTATTTTAGTTTATGGCCCCGGCTCCTCATCCTGTTGCTGGGCACCACCAAAAAGAGTCTGGCACCATCCTCTTGGCACCCACCTTTGAGATATTTATATGCATTAATGAGATCCCCTTTCAGTCTTCTCTAAACAGGCCCAGATCCTGCAGTCTCTCCCCATATGAGAGATGCTCCAGATCCTCATCATCTTTGTGGCCTGCACTAGACCCTCTCCAGCAGCCCAGAAATGGACACAGCACTCCAGATGTGGCCTCACTGGGGCTGAGTAGAGAGGCAGGATCAGCTCTCTTGTCCTGATGGCCACACTCTTCTTCGTGCCCCTAGGATACCACTGGCCCTGCTGGGCACAGGGGCACACTATCGGCTCACAGTCAACCTGTCATCCACCAGGACTCCGAGGTCCTTCTCTGCAGAGCTGCTGTCTGGTAGGTCAGCCCCCAACCTGTGCTGGTACTTGGGGTTATTCCTCCCTCGGTGTTGGACCCTACACTTGCCTTTGTTGAACCTCATTAAGTTTCTCTCTGCCCAATTCTTCGGCCTATCAAGGTCCCACTGAATGGTAGCACAGACTTCAGGTGTATCAGCCACTCCCCCCAGTATCATCAGCAAACCCTTTTAGGGTGTATTCTTTGGATTTAAATTGAACGTAGGATTAATCTGAAAAAAAAAAAAAGTGACTGATGGCACTGACTAGATGGCAAGATGGCAAGACTTCTTTCTTTTCAGGAAGCACTCAATCAAAAGAGAAAATAGGAATCATGACATGTCAGAGCTGTGTGTGAATGTGTGAGCTGTGCAGCCCTGGGGAAGCCCATTCTGCTTTGTGGATCCCCGGTGTACTCAAAGAGAGCTGGGAACTTGCAGGCTGAAGGTACACTGGTTTTACACACTGTTGAGATTGAGTAGCCACTGAGCATAGTGAAGTTTGATTCACATTTCCATGCTACCCACCTCATATTCCCAAGCCGTGTTTTGTTTCAAACCATGAGTTTTAGGTCCATGCTTTGAGCCACTGTTTGGTCCTGAGTTATTCTGTGTGATGGCTGAAATGACCCTCATGCATGACTGGTGGAGTGCCTGTGCAGGCTGCATGGTTCTTCACAGGGGTTTATACTCAGCAAACAGAGAAAAAAAAAAAAGACTTTTTTTTCCTACATTTGACATTTATAATAAATAGAATGTCCTGTTGTATGCACTTTATAGGATCAGGTTAGCTTCCACTCTTTCAGTCCTGAGAGAGCAAACATTTGTGTCATTTTTTAATCATTTCCCAGTTCACATTTTTCATGATAAGTCCTGAGTCAAGACTTTTTAAAATTATCTCTTAGGCTTCAGAGGAAAGACCCATAAATGAAGTCATTAGTGTCAAAGTTGTTAGCAGGTAAATATTAGAATTGCCAAGTACAGTATGATAGCAAGAAAACAGCCAATATTGCATGTATGAAATATGTTGATCCTGCATTGTGCTAGCTCAGGCAATAAGTACTTCTGAAACCAGTGACCAAAATTTTAAGTATCACAATTATTAGGAAACCAGACTGAACTAGGGTAAAACACATATTGCAACACAGTCTGATTTCTCACCTTCTTCAAGATATGCATTTTTAAAGATAATACAGCGTTAATTATTGGCACATTTTGTGTTGGCCTCTATGCCTGTGTCCATGCTTGCTGGTTTGGGTGTCACTGAGCAACAGCAGCAGGTATCTGCTTTCAGGTTTGAAGACAACAAACAATAAGCACAGTTGCTCAGCTCTTGAGCACATTTGTTTATAAACATATGTTAGGAAAGTGGTATCCTTCACTAAAATGAAAATATTCAATTCCTGTTGACAGCAGGATCTCCCAAATGTGATTTGTTGGATATTTATTTCTCACACTACTGGTAGGCAGCAGATGTATACATTTCCATTACTGACAGCTTCCTGAAAAGAAAAAAAAAAGAAAATAAAAGAAAAAAACAAACAAACACACACAAAAAAGGTTTAAATGAGACCATAATATGCTGAAGCATCTCTTCACTTAGGCTGTAATTTCTTGTGTTAACTAGGATTCTAAACATCATGTCAGTATACCTATACCCCTCGTCCAGTGCTGAATATTTATGTCATTTTATCATTCTTTCCAGCTAATTGTTTTGCAATTAGTAGTCTTGGAAGTAGTGTATTTTTTCTCTTATCATAGAAGCTGGAAGAGTGCCCAAAGCATATTAGCTCATCAGCCAGCCATTTGTACCTGCTGCTTATTATCTGCTACTGCTAAATACATGCTAATGATGCTATCTGAGCCTTGGGAGGACAGGATGAATTTGTAAATTGTACCCCTGCCAGGAAAACGAATGCTACTTAAAAAGATGACAAAGGAAGCAGCTGCTTTTGGATGAGATGGGTCACCACATTATGTATTACTCTAGAGTAATAAATTATATTTTTGGTCTTGAATTCATTTTTTGGAAGCATATGATTATATGGCAACTATAGCATGGGAGAAACCTTTCAAAGTCTTTTGAGGTGGAATAAAGAGGCAGTATCAGATTTATTATTTTTTAACAGACTGATGTTTAAATATACACAAATCCATTATCATGTGACATTTTTAGAGGTCTTTTCACGTGTTGTGTTGTAATTAAAAAACTGCAGCTTTTAAATATTTTATAGAGGGTTTTTTTCCCTTTCTTAAGTTACTAATTACAAGGGTCTTTTTAAGAACAGTGAGCAATGTTCAGCATGTCTGAATTACTTATGTATAAAATATATCAAAAGCAATGGAATGAGAACAAACCAAGTTAATTTGAAATTCCAGTGTGGTGTAAAATAATGCAGCCTCTGTTAAGTATGTTTGGTATGAAAGAACAATTTAAGCCAATTGTAAGTACAGCTGGAGTTTGAATTGTTTAAACATTTTTGAAGGATGATTAAGACATGGAAACAACTGGCTGAAAACTTGGGTCCTGCTTTTGACAAACTTTGGGTCCTGCTTTTGACAAAGATGCATAGAGGAGTTGAACTGAGGAGCAGAGATGAGAATAATTTTGGAAAGTACTGTAATTCCACTTTCTTTAGTGTCAGGGCAGGCAATGCCCTTCCAAAGTGCTTTTCGATGCACTATCCTATCACCTCAAACTAAAACAGGAAGAGAAGAGGTGAAGAGAATCAGCCAGACACAGTGGGTATTTGGGTAGTCCCCTTGTGCAGTTGGTGATGGGCATTCCAGGGCACGGACATTGCTCTGCCCTTGCCTGACCGCTGGGCTCAGCAGCTCCCAGTGCCAGGGAGTGCCACAGGCTGTACTGGGAGACAGAGTCCATGATGGGGAGACCCCTGCAGGGGTCTGAAAATGAACCAGAGTGTTGTCCAGGCCCAGAGCTGGTGAATCACTGGATGCTGGGCCGACAGTAGGTACAGGGTTCCGTCTTGTGGGAAGGCCAGCAAACACCACTCTAGTTTTTAACACCCTGTTCCCATGAAGTGTTCAAAACATGCTGGATCAGTCAAACTGATCAGACAATCTGGTAAAAACCAAAATCTTAATAATTTTTGAATAAGTCACAGAATTTTCTTTCATACGCTAAACCATTGGTAATAGAAACTTTTGAATTTGTCCTTGCTAAGGATGAAGCAACATGAAAGAACCTTAAAATATTTATATTTAACCACAAAAGAACACTCATCCAAAAACAATGGCCAAAAACATCTAAAGAGGTAAACTGAGGACATCAGGTTCTGCAGGGTGTATTGCAGCCTCACAAAAATCCCAGACCATGAGAGTACAGCTTGGATCATCTTAGCCATGGAAGCTATGCTTAACCTCTTTTAGAGAATACTGACATTCACCATATGAGTTTTTGTACAACCCAGCAGCTTTAAAAGAAAACCTGAGCTTTCCCAGTCTCTGCAGAAACACATGGCTGGAAGGTGACTCTGAAATGTTTGAGTGCTGTGTGAATGTATGGCTACTAGAGAGTGACTATGGAAACATAAGTATTTCCAGAGACAACACCACTTTGCTGTGTAACCCTGTAGCCTTGTGTCACCAGAGAAGGGGCAGAGGTTTATCCAGCCTTTAATGTGGGGAGGTTTTCTCAACCTTTAGTAATTTATTTGTCTGTCAGTGCCCCAGGAAAGCTGAGACCCTTACGTTCACCAGTCTGTCAGCGTCCCATAAGGGGATCCTTCACTGAAGAGATTCACTGGATAGGAGAGTGATTCGATTGCCCTTTTCAAGGAGGCTGAGCCAACAGCATAAGGGAAACCCCTCAGCAGGCCTTCCCATCAGCAACTGCTAGCACCTATAAAGGACTCACTCTAGCAGTTTACAGTCTTAATTAACATAAATTGTGACAGGTTAATAAGGTGCAAGAGTTGTCAGTGACAGTATCTGACTGCAAAAACACGTTTAAAGCAATCTGCTCTACTATAAAGCAACACCAGCTCTAATCCTATAGCGATATTTAGCATGCCTAAAGTATGGATCTTACCCAATAGGCGTCCTTATGGTGGGGGGAGACGGGTTCAGCCCCTTGACTGATCCCAGCAGTTTCAGTGGAGTCTTCCTCAATTTTCCCTCTGCCCTTAACTTATTTTTATACTATCCCTTTAGGTTTAGGTGGAGCTTGAGTGACTTCAGTCTTAAGTACTTTTATCTCTGATTGATATAGAATTCTCTCTCTTTGCTTCTCATGCCTAATGGTGGTGGTTGTATCTTGGCATTTGAGGAGAGGGATTTCAGCTCAGCTGAAACAAATGTTGTTCAGCTACTGCTCTTTGTCTGTCTCCCTTGGTTGAGAGGTGCTATGTGGTCTTATGGACTACAAAGTACCACTACATTCCCCTCCCTGCAGGGATGTCTATGGAAGGAGTCTGTGGGGTCTCCACTACACCCCACCCTTCATTCTATCCCCTATAGCGCATGCTTATTCCTGTATGTGGAGCATGTCAACCACATTCCATCCAGAGAGTAGCAGCTGCATTTTACCCTATAATTTTTCGTCTCTTCTAATTTTTTAACCCCAGTCATCTTTCAAAACCCTGCAATGCAGCATTGCCTTCCAGTAAGAAGCTGTGAGCTCTGCAGTGAGCTTCCAAGGCCTCAGGACTGGGACTTATCAAGCTTGATTTGTCTGAAGGCCTCCTAACTTACCTGCAGCTCTGTTTTACTTTGTTTAGCCATGAGAGTGGTTCCTCCAATTAGCCAGGCGTCTGTGACTAATTCATTCTGCTTTTGTTTATCCTTGCAGGGTACAACCATCATTTTATATAGCTGGCAGTAGCAAGCAGTGCTGCTGTGTTGAATGAGATGTTTAAGACTGACACATGATGTAGGGCAGAGAAATACAGACCTGGTAAAACAGCAGAGGATTTGAGAAGCGGAGATACAGGGTGTGTGACAAAAGCTTACTGGGACAGAGAGATAAGAGATGAGTCACCGCTTTGGCACTGGAGACTCATCAGTTGTCCATTTTAGCAATATGGATTCGAATCTGGACAAAACTAATTTTAGAGATAACAAAGGAAACAAAAAAAAATCAAACATACATAAACGGTACCATACATATATTAAGTACATTTGTAACATGAAGCTGTAGACCATCAAAGAAAAAGAAAGGTACCAAACTGTGTTGGAAAACATAGGGAAAAAAATTATCCCAAGTGCATATTGGTGAAGGAAGAAAAATCAAACACCACAACCATCACATTCCTCCCAGTGAGGGACTCCAGGGGCTTATGGTTGACACTGTTGTCCTCTCCAGCTGTCTGAAGTTCCCGAAGGTCCAGAGAAGAGTGAAAGGGTGAGCATACATCCAAGGAAAGGGATAGAAGCTAATAAATATATGCCTGACAATTTTATTATTGCTATTAATAAGACTTTTTCTGTACAGAAGTGCTCTAACTGCATTACTAGTCTCCATTTTCCTGCAATAATAACATCTGCATTCTTGAATTGTAGATTAACTAATTATTCTTGAATTAGATTGTTACGATTTTTTGTTACAGTGACAATAAATTCTTGGATTTATTTTTATGTATATGTCATGCTTTCTCTTAGTCCACAAAGAAGATTTTGAGCAGAATGGTGTGTTATCTCCCACACAGAAGGAAAAGAAATGTTTAGTGGCACCTCAGTGGTGCCTAAGCCAAGGCAGACCAGCACTCTGAGCTCATTGACACAGTACTGACACTGACTGCATGTCTACACTGGAGCTAGCACCCATCAGAAGTTATTTGCCAAGTCATATTTTTAATTTGTAAATTCTTTTGCAGACACTATTTCCTGAAGAAACAAGATGTTTTCAGTCATGAGCCATCCTGGAAAGTCATGACTGTTGCTCAGTTTGGGGGCTGTGGGGTGAGCCCCTCCCTCTCGTTGAGTCCTGCCTGTCCCACTCCTGGCCCAGGTCAATGTCTTTGATCTATCTGGGTTATACCTACCTCTGGCCATTGACCTGGACCCATAACAGAGTAAAAGTCACAGGAGAAAAGAGCACATTTAACTTCAATAATGTTGGGAGGTAAGCAGACATAATAATAACCATGTCAGTCCCTGTCTGCAGGAATGGGAGGATAAAGATTTTTCAGTTGTGGAAGACACCTGGCCTTGATCTCAGATGTGTTTTGTCTGTTACCTGGTTCTGCCTCAGGAGCTGTTACCCTCAACATTATCTCAAGATAAAAATATGACCTTCTTACCAATAAAGGCACCATGCTGAACTCATCTTTGGGTCACCAGAAGGAAATCTTGACTGTATCTGAAAGACTTGCACCTCCATTTGGGAAATGGTGTGATTATATATTAAACACATATTATATATTCAACTGTGAAAAATACTACTGGGCAGCCACAAGCATCAGAGGACCAGAGCTCTGCTTGAAATGTCAGGGAACAGTAGAAAAATCCTTACAGCTTTGGCAGAAGGAGATGGATGTGGGAAGAGAGGTTTTCATTTCAGATACCATCTGATGGTAGTTTTACCAGGAAATAACTGTATATCTATATTTTTAAAGGCAGGTTTCCAGCCTAATAAAACTACTACTGCTGTCTGTCGAGAATTGCTGTGCTTGTGGGAGTGCCATACGATGAGCAACTTGCCATAAGGAAGAACTGTGCTACTGCGCGAAGCGAGGGCTTTACTCAAATGCATCAGGTCAGGTTGCTATAGGTAAATGGATATGAGCATGTGCACGTGTAGTAGCAGCAAAAAAAGGTTGCAATGAAATTAACCTTTATATTGTATTGCCTTTTCCGTTGTCTGAAATATCAGGGCCATGATTTCAAGTTACGAATGCCTGTGTAGCTACATACACAGCCTTACATTCACATCTATTCTCTGCACTTTGACAATAGCTGCTTGTGCAAAATAAACCCTCGTGCATAATAATCATCACCAGCAGATGTGCAACATTCAGACTACTGACTGCTCCCAATGAAATATCCTACAGCATATCCACTGCACAGATCAAGTTTTCTATTTATTCTCTTCCACAAACACATAGTTTAAATCTTGTACTGATTTGCAGTTTCATAGATTCAGAAGTTAATTACACCAACATATACATCTGCCATATGTTCTGTACACAGTGCTTTGAGAAAGTACCAGTATTAACAGCAGCACCTTGAGAGTTTGAATTGAGTGTCCTGGATTTTGATGTATTTCTCAAAAAAATCCACTTGCACTAGGATTTAACGCAAAGGACTAGAATACATGCCATCTAGCCTGAAATGTGTCATAATTTGCATCTGTCTTGACTTTAGGAAGATTTAGTCTCTGAATTTCAAGTACCACATTCAGGCACCTTTTGATTAGTTTCAGAGTTGGTGACCCTGTCTGGATTGGAGGGCAGTTTGATTGACTTGTTCAGGGACACGCACCAACAGCATGAGAGACCTCCTTCTGGGTCTCCACGGCCGGCCAGCGATGGCCAGAGTCCTTAAAAGACTGACACTAACAGTTTATGGAATAACACTTTTTATTAATATAACAGAAAATCATGGCTCAAAGATTGCCGGTAATGGTATCTGACTGCAAAAATATACTTAAAGCGATATACAGACAAGATCTGATCCCCAAAAAACAGCTAGCTCAAGATAATCATTCAGCACACAGAGTATGGTTCTTATCTAATCTGTGTCCCTAAGGGGGACGAGGCAGATGATCATTGAAGTCCAACTCTTGGTCCTGCACAGGACAACCCCAAGAATCATATCATGAGCCTAAGAGTTGTCCAAGTCTTATGTGGGATAGTATACTGGACTGAGAAGTTGATATGCCATTCCAGAAAGATACAACTGAGATGTATAATGGTATGAAAGATGTTGTGGTGAAAACAGACTATGCCTTATCATTTCACTTCATTGCGCTGGTGAGTTACCCTGACTTTGAATTCATAAAGGTTTGTACTAATTGAGTGGATATCAAGGAAATGAGGATTCAATAGCGGCCTGTTGCACATATGCACAAACAAAATTTCTTTAGAAGCAACAGCTTTCCAGGGTCAAATGCATATCTGAAGTATGCTTTCTTGGATTGAAGGTAGTCCAAAAAAAATTCAGATACTTCTTCGACAATGCAGAAATCTCAGGCTCCACTCAATAAGCCTGATTTTGCTCTGTTATGAGTTGCTGTAAGAAGGGAGCAAATCTGCTCCTGGTGAGGTAATTGGGTTATAAGAACTGACTCCAGTTCCAGGAGAGTATCTGTGAATGAGGGCTATAACTGAATGAGGATTTGTAATTGTAGTGAATGATCCCACCTGCTTTGCATCACACAGACCCCATTCCTCACATCATTGTTAAAATTGTTAATAGGCACCTTAATAGACAAAGTGGAGGTTGGCATTTGGAGGAAGAGATGGAGGTCCCATTGGAGGCTGAACTGACTGTGCCGCAATCCTGTGCTCTCCACCTTCTCACCACAGTGTAAGAAAACTGCCAGATATATTTAATTGCTGATTTACTAAGTGAAATGCATTATTTTTGATACTTCCATCAAGAATGTAGACTTCCGGTATTTGTACCTCTCAAAATAACTCTTTCTTAAAAATATCCATATTACTATAGGTAGAACAAATGTACCACAACAGATATAGCAGTCTAAGGTAGAGCCTAAGGTATGTGACACTTACTGTGTCACAGCTTTGCTGACAACTAAAATGGATTCTTTTTCATTACTGAATAAGAAAGAAAAATGTGAAGTCTTCACTAGTATTGCAATCAATGTAATGGAATCACTGTTGTGGAACTTGCAGGGACTGGCAAATATTCTGTACAGACTGATCAGTTTGCTGCATGAACAGACCATCTGCTGTCCTAACTGAGCCTCCTCTATAAAAACAGACACATTTTTAAAGAGGTAACTCAGCAAATTCTTCATTTTTAACAATGAAATAAACAGTACATCAAAAAACACCTTCCCAGATCTTTTCTGTGGTCATGTTAAAATAGCAGACAAAAATATATGAGGAAAAATTATATTCACAGACACCAACAATAACTAAACTGGGTTCCTGAAAAACTATGCAGTTATTTCAGGGGACTTTATATTTTGTGTGTTGTATACTAGGACAGCTCTAACCTTTAGTCAAAAAAAGAAAATCTTGAAGAGTTATGTTGATTATGGAGCATGGATTTGACTTAATATCCTAAACTGAGAATCTATGCATGATTGGAAAAAGATTGCAGAGGTGGAGGAGGAAAGCAAGGAAAGAAAAACGGCAAAAAAGATTCTGAGGCAGATATTGTTCAAAACCACATTCAAGGACACAGCGATAGTAGAAGGTTAGATATTAATAGGCTAATGAATAACTTCATTGCTCCATAGTGCCTGTTAAGAAATCACATTTTATTCTTGCTAGAAGTTACTTACTTCACACAAAAAAATGTTTTCCTGAAAGTTTTTCCTCACTTTATAATCACTGAAATAGGAAGAAATGAAAATAAAAAAGTAGGAACTTTCCCTTGTTGAGGTTTCTGGCAATATTTTCAAAACCAAAAATGGTCAGGAACTGAGAATCTGAACTTGAATTCTTCAGGTGGAAGTTCTCCAACCAAAACCTAATGCAGAATATTTTTCAATTTTTCACACTTTGAATCTTTAGTAATAAGTTTGAGAATCACTTCAAATTAGATGTGCAGAACTATCATAATGCTCAGCTGTGTTGTGCATTACACAAAGTAATGGAGGGAATAATTTTCTATAAAGGCATCTACAATTTTCAATAATTTCCTATGTCTACATTAGGCAATTTCTTGTTTTCTCCCTCATTATTAAAGCCCAATGTGCTCTATGGAGCAAATTAATACCTGTCCAACACATTTTAGTGTCATTTTAGATAAATCCTGCTC